ATCCAGGCAGGGACTACATGCTTGTCTTCCTTCCTGTGTGCATATCTGCATCTTTTCCCATAGGAGACTCTGGATTTGGCAAGGTTGGAACCTACGCTCAGCAAGTGTGATGTGTTTGTCAGTTTCCTGGTTTAGACTTGCCCATTGTGACCATCTCATGTGATTTCTTGCATAATCCAGGATATGGAACTTCTCTGAATTACTTCCTGCATCACGCCTAATAGCTGTGGTCGTTAGCATAGTTTACAACTTGCAGGGACAAAAAGTCTAGTAAGGCAGTTTGAAAGTTGGTCAAGGGGTTAAGTTTCCTCACAGCCAATATGCGCTTCATTTTTAATGTAAATTTCTCTAGGCTTATCTTCCAGTGACCGGAGTTTTGTATACCAGACTGAAGAGACCCCTCTTACTTGTTTCCCTGGGACTGTCTCCAAACAGCCGGGATGACCGAAGTTTTCCCCAAGTTTGCCTTCGTACTAGTCCCTATTTAAAGCTGGTAATGAGCTATCTTAACCCTGCAGTGCTTGAGGTTGCTCTAGAATTTCGTGTTCCAGGAAGTTTACATATTTAGACCCATGAAAACTCAGAAACGACTCAATGCTTGGTCACAAACCAGTACTTGTAGCAGGGATATGGTTGCACCCTTGAATGGATTGTTTGGTGCGTAATTCTCTCTAGGTCACCCAGCATGAGATTTCGTGTCGAAAGCACCTCTGGCTCCTCTGTGTCAGGCATTTTTTCATCGATGACAGGCCCATAAACTGACAACCTAATTAAATTACTTATCAAGACTGTGGAATTCAGACATTTCTCAGGAGTTCATTAACACTCCACTGCTAGTTTAGAACTTTGGAGGAAACGGTTTGCTCCAGGTGAGAGGTTCCGATTTAGAGGAGATAAACCCAGAGAAGCGTGGCTCCAGCTGCATCCAAGGGATCACTTCTGGCTCCAGCAGGCTGGGACTCTGTCCTGCCAGCCCGTAGCTGAGTGGAAAAGAGGAGGACCCTGGGAATACCCAAACACAGGTAGTAAATGAGCTGAGTTATTACTTTGTATCTGTTTTTAAAACTTGGTAGTTTTTTTTTTTTTTTTTTTTTTTTGGACTTTGACTGTGATGAATAACAAATCTGTTAGAAGTCTTTATGCATCAAAAAAATGCCAATACATAGTTACTTTTCGGCTAAATCTCAGCTGGTATTGGGAGTGATTTCAGGATATCGCAGCAGATGGAGTGCTTCAGTACGGACAAACAGAACGAAGGTACATCGAGCTATTCCAAAAGTTTCCTAAATCCAGCCCTGCAGACTGCAAAGTTGTCTTTTGTTATGCTGCAAGAATTAAGTTTGAGACTGATTATACTGAACTCCAGACAGTCGCACTAACTGTTAAGACAGCCTCCATGGTGTATACTAGAGCTACAGAAAGAGAATACAACATTTAGAGATCACCTGTACCTTTAGTACTGAAAAAAAATGTATTGGTGATAATAAAAAAACGTTCTCTACCTTTGTTATAATATGGAATCCTTGGACCTTAATGCAGAATGTGTTTCTGCTCCGCTAACATTCTCACTGGGCTGCTCTGAACACCAAATCTAGACACGTCTTCCAGAATCAGTTGCAACAAGTCAAATGCAAGTCATCTAATCTCCTTAAACCTATGTGCCGTTTCTCCATTTGTGCACATATGCTTATTCATGTGCCTTCTAAATTTCTCTCATTGCTACCCCTGAAATAGTCAGTTGCTTACTTATAAGACTGTATTTCTTTCTTCCTCAGTGTATGACCTTACATTTCGGCATGCTGAAATTTTAACAGTCCGGAAAGCTGATTCCTTGTATTGATTTGACAATAACTAGGCAGCTATTGTAAGTGACACCCATTATCAGATATTTCTGTTACATTTTAGAGGCTTTTAAATAGTTTTTCTCCTCTTAAACACAAAAGAAAGCAAAGACAAATATAAAAATAACCAAAGGCCTAATGGTAGGAAGTTAAAATAACTGCATCTTCAATAAACAGAACTGGGAGGCAGGAAGGTGGCTGGCTCTAGCGCAGGCTAATTCTTTGAGGAGAGCCTCTGACTTGAGTCCTCTAAATGGCAGGTACAGTAATATCAGACAATGGATCACAACCCCCCCAAATGCCTTTAAGAAGCAGAGAAGACCCTGGAGATATTTAGTAGCATTTGCTTCTTTCTTCAAACCATTGTAGACCAGCTGTCCTCTCAGCTTAAACCAATCCAAATAAATGTCTAATAGCTCATAATGAGGTATTAGCGAGTATTTACTTTCCAGGACTCTCCTAATCTCACGTCACACCAATTTGTAACCTAAGAGAGAGTCTACAAGAATGAAACGCATGATCACAGACCGCTTCGTTTCCACCAATTAGCAAGAGACACCAGAACCAGACCTTAACGTGACTTGTGCCCTAATGTTAGCCTGTCCTGGCGTTCTTCTGGTTGAGCTTTTAAAGGGGCAGGAAGTCTGCTGAATGTGCTCCTGAGCTCTGCCTAAGCTATGCTGTGCTCTGAGAAGAGACACGGTATAAATACATCTTCCCCACTCCTGCTTGCACTACCTTGCACCTTGCCTATCTCCTGTGCTGCAGCTCCAGCAAAGCCCTTGCCATGGCGTTCGCGCAGCACGAGACGAGGTCCGTACAGGTGCTTTGTGCCAGGGACCATTCTGTCACAGCTGGCTTGCGCAGCTGCATGCTTGGGTGTCTTCTCCATAAGGCATTTATCGCTTTTGTTCAAACTGGGATTTCTAAAGAGCTGCCCATCAATAGAGTAAACCTAGTGATTTTCTGTGACTCACCGACAGCACTGAGATAGTTTATTTTTATTAGGGGGATCAGCAAATCTCTCAGAGAGCTAGAGGACGCATGAGATAATTTTAGTTTAGAACATTCTACTGCCCAATTTGACATCAGGATTTTCTGTAGCACCAAAAATCAAATCACATTCAGCCCTGAAGCAACACCATCCCGTCTGACACAATAGCTACTAAAATCTGGTCATTTTGGTATTACACTGAGACCGAAGCTGCACACAGATTCACAGCAGGGCTTCAAACAAGGTTAAAATGTGCTGAGAATACCCTAGTCTGCTGTCCCTAAATGGAGGAAATCTATCTTCAGCTACATGTTATTTTCAATTTCCTTAATTCAAACGTAGCCCCGCATATGTTTCAGAACTCTACGATTACCAAAATGCCTCGGTGAGTTAGGACCCTGAAGGACGTTGGCTTTCAATGGGATTCAATACCTAGAAGGCCTTTGAGTGCCTACATCTGCTTTTGTACCAGGCGGGCTAGGGCCCGGTGCCACTGCTGCCCTTTGCAGCACACATGGGTACAAGATGCTCCGCAGTTCCAGGGCCTTCGTTGCCCCGAACACAGAAGCCTGGTGGCCATCTTGTGGTGCTCCATTTTTTTGTTTTTCTGAACAAGTGGATTTTTTTTTTCAAGGACTGAATGAAATGAAGGCTGAACAGGCTGAGAGCCTCATTCTTGGAATGCCTGAGGGCATGTGGAGCAGGGATGTAACAGGGGGGAAAGGTAGCCAAAAGTACGTTTTGTGTCCTGTATTCAAAGGCTGAAGGTTAGAGCAGTCCCACATTCACCCTGGATGGCCTTTGGAAGCAAAGATTACTTATTACACAGTGATGTCTTGCCACAGCATTTTCATGTTTCAAGCAGGTCTTGCACAGAGAATGCAGATGTGCCTACTTACACTGCTGGGGTGGTGTAAAGACCTTAGTGTAAAAAAAAATGAGTCCCTGTGTGTTCAGAGAGGAATCTCCAGAGACATCTTTGGTCACACAGGCTTCTTACAAGGGAGTATGCAGTCTGTTCAAAGCTTCAAACTCTGCTGACAGCATAAAAGAAACTCCAAGCTGGTCTCTTGTGCAGCAACCTAAAATGCACACCAGGTCGGTGTATTTCACACTGCTATCTCCGTTCCAGCAGCAGCAAAGCATTTATATAGATCAGGGTGACTTGTACGAGCTGTTGACATTAACACAACCCTCACATAAGGATCCACAAGCAAATACAGGGTATGAGATGCCATGGAAAACATTTTTGGCTGTGGCTTCTCACCCCACAAGGTGTCAATAATGTAACATTTCCTACTGTTGATTTATCCTGCTCCCAAATCATCACTAACACAGACAGGTGGGATCTCACCATCATAAAACCTGGTGTGATGACTTTGGCAATCTATCCAAGCAGCAGAAAGAACGTCAACATTTTAAGCAGATCCTGCTTTACATCCAAAGCGTGGTGCAACGTGTTAAAGAATATATTTTTCTTAAGACTAGGTACTTGTCTTAGCTAAGTATGTTGAGAAATCCTGGTAGAACTGAGCCTTCAGCGTAGGTATGATTGCTTAAATGATGAAGGCTCTTGCAGTGGCTACCTCCCAAGGGCCAGGTTGCAGTGCTGCATGGAGGAAGATGCAAGGCAGAAGTGTCCTCAAAGAGTCCAGCTACCAGCAGTGCTACTGAATCGCTTGCAGGAGTTTTATATCACACCACGTCCATGAGGCTGGTGCTACACAACAAGCCCCAGTGAGTGCAGAGCACAAGGAGCTCTCCCCGGGCTCTGTGCACGCATCTGCACCGGAAGGATCAGCAAAGGCTTCAGGGCTTCCACAAACAGAATCTATATGAGCAGATAACTCCCCTCTTGTCATTGCTGGGAAAGGAGACACTGTCAGTTCATGAAGATATTGGTAAAATCATTTAAGATTTAATACGATGCATCTCAGATGAAGTAGGTGAGTAGCAAGGCCAGTTTGCATGTACTTGCCTGCCAGCTGCCTGGGTGCCGGCCACGAAGCTCTGTGAGACCATGGCTGCAGAGTCTGGCTGCGGGTGGCGAACACTGCTGAATACCTGACTGCATGGAGGAAGCACAACTCCCAGACTGGACGGGAGTCACAGATGATGCCCAGGCACAGCACCAACCCCGTGTGCCCCACGCCACGACAATCGCAATGGACACCCCTCATTCATTATGGAGGGTTTGGCTGGCTCCACACGTGAGGCTAGTGGACATCCGTATGAGACACGCCGGTAAGGCTGGTGTTCTGTGCAGACTTTGGGGACACAGCATTTTTCGACAAGGGACTTGTTTCCTTCCGGCCCCATGAACAACGACTGGTGGTCCGTTGTTTCAAGTGATGCTCTTACTCTCCCCGGCTTTCTGGCTGCTAGCTGAGAAGTCTCCGGAGTGCAGGTCAGAAGAGGGGGTCAGACATAAACTGAGCAGCTGCAGGAGGGCACTTTGCGTCGCTCTCTGTACTTCAAAGGAAGCGGAGGGAAGGATTAAGAGGAATAGGTGCACTAGTTCCCACCCTTAGGTTATCAAGGCTAATGAAAATTGTGTTGTGTGGTAAAAGGAATTGGGATTCTATCCCTGGGGTTAATGCAGAGAACGGTTAATTCTTTCCCAGGACAAGTGAAAAAGTGGCAAATTAAATTAAAAAACCATCAGAAGCATCACTTGCCCTACACCCAAAGGATATGCCATACTAGAAGAGCCTGAAAGAAATGCAAATGACAGTCAAAAACTAATCTATGATTACTAGGGAACTATTCATAATTATTTGTATTTCCTATGGCTGGACCATGTAGAAAATCGCTGAGGTTTTGTTCCTAAACCACTGAAAGTCTCTTTCACTTAGTCCCCAAGTTTTGTCACAAGAGCAAGGTTCACGGCTCTGGAAGCCACCCAGCCCGACGCCGTGGGTCCCGCGGGGACAGGCTGCTTGCTGCGGAACGCTCGGGCCTGGAGACCCCCACAGGAGGGCTT